TCTTTTGCAGAAATTTCCACACAGCAGGATGAATACTTTCAGTAAAAGGATCAGGCAACTTCCATCTTGGTCTGTCTTTTCCATATTGGGCTGTTCCTATAGATGTATAGAAGGGATAAACATTTACAGGGACTTGATAAATGTGATGCTTCCTTCCTTGTATGGTTTCTGTGTCTAAAAGAAAAAATAGTATTTAATAAAAAAATAACTGCTTATTTTCTATAGGACAAGCTGAGTCATTCATTTGGCTTGCTCTTCACTTTGCCAGATAGCTACAAATTTTGAGGTGTGTTTTAAGAATGAGGGACTACCAATCAGTCATGATCCTGCTGGAATGGTATGCATTTAAAATAGGCCATTCTGACTGAGATCACCAATCCCTGCACCAGCAAAGACGGCCAGAACATGGTCAGGACATGAACTCCTCATGTTCTTGCCCTTTCTGCATCTAATGGCAGTTAATCTAAAATAATTCTGACTCTTAATGGCTCAATAGGATTGATATATAGTCTTGCTAATGAAGAAGTGTGTAAAGAAGTTTAAAGATTAATTATGGTTTCAAGCTGGTGTACTCAAACCTTTGATTGGTATTCTGTATCATTTTATTAGGGGTCCAAACACCAACTGTGCTGAATCCCTATTTTTTTTCTTTTCTTTTCTTTTTGTATGCATGAACTCCATACAGCCCATTACTGACCTGATGACTTACTGGTCTCTCCTTCCTGGAAAATAAAAAAAAAAGATGACAACACATACTACATCCATATTATGGAAGCCTGTTTCCACCACCCGGAGGAGAAAAACAAACCCATTTATCTCAAAATTCTGACTTAATAATTAAGTCAGAGTTCTGATTTAATAAGTCGGAATTCTGAGTTCTTTCTGTCTTTTAACTTTTCATTGATTCTTGAGTGCTGACTTAAATCCATTCGCAAATGCGCATGAAACGGCAGACATATACTTGGTCTTAGCAGCGTGGAGCACATAGCTGAGTATTTTAGTTGTGGTTTTACAAACAACCCAGCAAACATGCCCATTTGGGCCCTGCATGGGCAGGTGTGGGTTTACTGTGGGCCAGTGTGGGCAGGGCAAACCCATAATAATCCCAGGTGGGGCCCATGCGGGTTAGTCCACACTGGGGCCCGCAGCAGTTTTGCCCTTTGGGGCCCCTATGTGGGTTTTCAGCCCCCCTGTGAGTAAGCCAATGCAAGGCCTGCAGCAGTTTTGTTTGACAGCCCCTTTTTAATTAGAACTGAACACAGTCACCAAGGCAAGTAATTATTATTAGTGATTAATTAAATTATTAATTTATTATCGACAGCAACATCAATAATAATAATTATTATTGTTGTCGGTGATCATTATTAATTAATTACCAAAAATAATAGTTGGATGGATGGATGGGGGACACACGCTGGGCGTTTGAGTGCAACTGAAGCTCGCGATCTCGAGACAGGTGTTTCGAATCAGAAGGACCATTAGGAGAGAAAGCGACAGTGAAAGCTAATTCCCATGTAATTAACCCCCTGGGGTCGGCGGTCCCGAACAGAAATTTCGCCGAACCGTTTAAATAACTCTGCGAGACACACTTCAGCATCGGAGTCATAACAGAGTGATTGACCGATTTGCCACTCTTAAAAACAGACGGCATTCTTTGATGCTTCCACCCACCAAGTGATTATGGTGATTGCAGCCATAAAAATTATGAAACTTTATTTTCAGTTTTTTTCTTGTTGTTAATGCAGCAAACACATTTCCTGTGTTTTCTTGTTGTACTGTATTAAAAAACAGACTGAAATAAAACAACAAATCTATTGGTGGCCTAAGATGTTTAATCTGTCCAAAAAAGTTGAAAAGCAATTTCTCAGTCTTTGTTTTCTGTTTGTGAAATTTTGTGCTCATGCACTACGTTTGTTCATATCGTGTGCATTTCTTGGGGGCTAAGCCCCCCCTGTCCTTAAAACCTAGTGACGCTCCTGGTTGTCGAAAACCACAATGAATGTTAAATTGCTCCGTTCTTGTCAGTTCAATGCGTTTCCGCTTGATCGGTTAAACATAGGTTATAGGCCTACTTAAATATGAGGTAAGATATAATATTAAACGTTCATTTATATATGCACATCTATATTGACGCGCAAAGGTAATTATTTAGGTTACCTTAGTATATATGTTCCTGTACATTTATTGGAAAGACATTTTCTAAAATTAAACGACACTAATCAATCTCCGCACAAGCAGTTCCTCTCACCAGTAAACCGTTATGAATTTCTTTCACATTATCTTTTTATTTTTGATGTGTAGTGTTGGTCATACGTAGAACATCTACAAACAGTGGG